AACGGTTGCTCGGAGCGTCATGTCAGCAATTAATTACATGATGACGTAAATTACTCGCTTGACGCTAAGTTTGCTCCAATTACTAATCAAGTTCGATACGTAATTATCTTAAGAGCTTGTTGGTAAACAGATTTTGATCTTGACCGTGATTTAGATCAAGATAGTAACTAGACTAGACTCCGGCTAGCTACAAACTTAAGTAATTACTCTGCATGCATGGGACACGCTGATATGTTTGAATGCGTCTCTAAAGCTGGCTATGAATGGCCATTGAAAACGTAGACACGAGTGCACAACTACACAGATGCTCGTTTTGTAACGCTCTAATACGAACATACCTTCAGTTTACGTTGCATTCAAAGCGATTAACCTGTATTTTCCTTTTTTAAATGTATGGGTGTGTATGTTTTTGATGTTTTATTATGTTGTGATGTTTTATTCATTATGACTGCCTCGCTGACCGAGTGGTCGCAAGTGCGACTACTGGGCAAGGGGTCTCGGGTTCGATTCCCGGGTTGGGCAAAATATGACTGGGTTTAAAAAAAATCTAAGTAGTTGCACGGAGTCTGGAATTGTGCCCGGTATATGACAATAAGCTCACCCCCTATTACATGGGAGTCATAACATAAAAAGTGTAAAGAGGGTGTTACATTGTACAGAGGCATTAAGTGCCGTAATGTGCACTTCTGCCTACCCCTTCAGGGATAAAAGGCGTGGTGTTATGTTATAATTTATTTATTTTTAACTTTTTGTGAAGTTTGTGTTATCTCCTTTAACTCGTCGAGTACCGGTTTTATAGACACAATTAAAGAACAATAGGTCGCGGTCACCGGTGACCGCTTGGTGTTTGACAGTTTAATAAAATGAAGTCCGTAAAAAATAGAAGCAATATTCTTTTACACTTTATCCGTAGGTATTACACGATGCGACCAATACACCAAAAGCGCCAAATATACCCAACGAAATATACTAAGTACTTGGAGGATACCTTATTAATAACCCAAGACTATAAATCAGTCGCAGACAAAGTTCCAACTAGTCAGTCAACTGACGCGGTGTTACTAATACTTCAATACAACTAATTGGTTCCGTAACAGGGGTCCTTCATAATGCAGGTACTTATTTTCTTTAGTTTTATTTCTATATAGCGGGACCGAGAAAAGTTCAAATGCCAACATTGAAAAAGTTGTCGGTACGGCGGGCGGACCGCAGACATCGTTTGTAATCGAAGCGCTGCTGTAACTTTTGTAGTGATCTTTCTTTGTTCCGACATCTTACGCTCCAACATTCTGAATAAGCCCATTTTACTTGTTATTTAACTCTAGACATATTTTTACAGGGTCAGTTATTTAATTCGTTGCAGTTTGTATTTGAATTTTATAACATAACATAACATCACGCCTTTTATCCCCAAAGGGGCAGGCAGAGGTGCACATTATGCCACTGTACAATGTAACAACCCACTTTTCATAATTTATGTTATGAGTCCCATGTAATAGAGGGCGAGCCTATTGCCATATACCGGGCACAAATCCGGACTCCGTGCTACTACTGAGAATTTTTTAAAAACCCAGTATTACTTTACCCTACCCGGGAATCGAACCCGAGACTCTTTGCCTGGCAGTCGCACTTGCGACCACTCGGCCAACGTCCCATAGGACTTATAACATAAATAGTGAAAAGTGGGTGTTACATTCTACAGTGGCATTTAGTGCCGTAATGTGCACCTCTGCATACCCCTTCGGGGATAAAAGGCGTGATGTTATGTCTTCAATTCATTGAACATTCCATTTGTAACAGCAACAGTGGTTGTACAAACAGGACTTCACTCTACAGTGTCTCCTGGTGAGAAACTGTAGAGTGAAATCCTGTAGTAAATAGCAGTAAGTAACAGTAGCCCTCAGGGACGATTTTACCGTCATAATATTGATCAACGTTTATATAAATGTACAACAGCAACAACCAAAATATAATAATTCCATACTTGACAAATAGTCGAATTCAATATTTTTTTTCGAACTGTCAAAAACGACGGTCTTCTATGAATTTTGTACGAGATTGTGTATTGTGACGTCACGTTCTTTTAGCGTCCAACAGCATACTTATTTTGTATACCTACCTATACTAAAATTAAGTTGGTCATATAATCAATTACATAATGAAAGTGTGATTATTTTTAAATACATTATTGTATTGAACAGTCGAAATAATTTATTTTTAGTTAAGGAAAATACTCATAACATCACGCCTTTTTATCCCCGAAGGGGTAGGCAGAGGTGCACATTATGCCACTGTACAATGTAACACCCACTTTTCACTATTTATGTTATGAGTCCCATGTAATAGGGGGTGAGAGCCTATTGCTATATACCGGGCACAATTCCAGTCTCCGTGCTACTACTGAGAATGTTTTAAAACCCAGTAATACTTTGCCCGACCCGGGAATCGAACCCGAGACCCCTTGCCGTCGCACTTGCGACCACTTGGCCAACGAGGCAGTAAAATACTCAATTATCGCTATTATAAAAAGCTGTTATAAAAATAATACATTTTAATCTCCAAACATATACGTTACAGTTATCTTTTAGTGTTAAAACAGTACATAACATTTTCTTTAACTGTAGAAATATTTACAAGTACAACGGAGTACCTCTGTATGTTTAAAAGTCAGAGGTCAGTACGAATTCACTGTATGCATAACACATCAAAGTTTCGATCAATACTTTAGGTGCAATCGTTATTGAATTTCAACGTTCAGCTTCGATGTTAACATTTGTTTATAGAATGTGTCCTCCAATAGCTGTATGAAGGCAAATAGAGTAGGTACGTGAAACTGATTATTCAAATATGTGTATTAATTTAATTAGGCTTTATATTCTAATCGCATAAATATTAATAAGGAGATGACGAGCTTATTTATCAAAAATGAACTGACATTTAAAGTGTTGTCGCTATTAGATGGGGTAAAATTATCTTGCGTGGGTGTGTGTTATATACTCTGTTACTTAATTCCCCCATACTACTTAAACAAGACAAATATATTGTAAACTAAAATAGTGTCGATAATCGGGAGCAACTGTTAATTTATAAACAAATAACGCTCTCCTCAACCAGCTCAATGTTTACCCTTTCTTACTTATCAGGCTTTTGTAGCTTGTCCTCTTTTTATTACCTCCGATATTTTATTGCTAAACTTTCTGAACAAGGTACTTAAACGGAAATATGTTTGTTTCGAAAAAACAACAAGTTATTGATTTATCACATTAGATATCAAAACAAACCACTCATGTATCATCAGACGTGTCTCAAGTACCAACTCATTAAAAAATAATGTAACATTTTTTCTTGATAAATAAGTACTTAAAGCCAGACATCTTCAGTTCGATACTTGTTCTGTTACTATGAAATAAACTTGAACTTAGAATTGTAGAAATTACAGGTAAACATTTCTCTGAAGAAGTTTCCTTCGCAGCAATGCTTCAACTCCGCTTCTGCCCTATTTTATTCCCGTATGCTTTTACTTTCGTTCACAGAGAGTGAAAGCTCAACAACTCAATATTCAAAAGTGAAAATAAATTTAAATACACGAGAATATTCGGGTAGAACTGCACATATTTATCGTAAATCCTGACGAGTATTTCACGTTTCATGAATGAATATGTAAGATTGATACGAAATGAAACTTTGAGCAGATTATACATATCAGTTTCATGTTCACATTTAATTCATGAGAGCGAAAGTTTCAACGTACAATATTAAACGAGAACATTTCCATCAAGGTTACTGTGTTTATTATTTATTTACTGAAAAGTAACCGATACGTGCACATCATCGATACCGGGATAGTAATTACGCGGTGATGCCTAATTGCGCGGTCTGTTGTGCAATATTCAGAATATTGGCGAACAACGTATTTCAATTAATTTAGGTAAAGGTCAAGGGGAATGTTGAACGTTCCGCTTATTGTTGGTCAGTACATCAATAATCACAAACGTAAATACAATTTATTTATTAAACAACTATGTTTCTGTCATAATGTTCACCGTATGTAAATAAACAGAAAGTACGTTACATTATTCTTCTTTTATCATGACAATCTGAAACCAGAAAATGACAATAGCAACACTGATTTGCAGTTGTGATTTTCTGTACATTTTTGTAAACTACGAACGATACCTATCTTCAATGTTGATAAGTTTTATAACGTGGCGTCTATTGGCGCTATTAACTTCAAGTAAATTATCCAAAATAATCATATAAATTACTTAGACACGGATTGTGATGTTTTATTACAATCCAAAGGTCAGTCCTCTCGCTGTCTCAACTGCTGAGATTTCTCTCTCTAACTGTTACATGCACAGTTTGTTACATTTTTAAAATATTGGAAGAACAACGATGCTTAAACAAAGTTAGGCACTTAACGTACACCTACCAGATAATTTATAAAATATTTTATAAATGAAAGAGAAAATAAATCAGCGCTGCGACGAAAAATCGTTCTCAGTGGGCCTAATGGCGGTCTCAATTTCTTCGATATTGTTCTCATGAGTCCCGAACGAGCGCTCGGCGAATAGGTAAATTGCATGAGTATTACCAAAGTCTAATAATTGTGTACACCGATATGAAACACAACCAAATTTATTTTGACTCTATATTACGAATCAGTTAATTGAGAAAAAAAATAAGTAATTTAACTAAATGAAGACCAGCTCGTTATTTTCTTTTAAGGTACACTATTTAATAAGCAAGTAAATAAGCTTGAGAAGCCTTGAGCCCCAACCCTTTTGCTTATTAGCTTATTTGCGAGGGATTAGCATCGAGGCCGTGTTATAAACAAATCAGACGCGCGTCGAGCAATGTGAACTCTCGGCTTTGAGAGATTTACACGCACGCTATGGCTTCTCAAGTGCGTGCGGGGTGCGCGCGAGCTGAGCGTCGTAGTCACGCAAGAAGATCGATGGTCACGACGAGAACCTGGTGATGGAAGTGGTGATACTCACGCGGCATGGTCAGCATGAGGCAACCAGGCGATGGCGAGAGCCAGCACAAGCGCGATGCTGTGCACGCCGCGCGGACGGCACGTATGCATGTTTTGCGCGTCCGCGTGCGTCCTTGCGGACGCTGGCTGCCGGCAGCCGCGTATCAGCTTGCCGGCGGACTGGCGTGTTCTTGTAGCCCCTCCGGCGGCAAGAACCCGCGCCTGCGCCCCAGCGTCTATCGACCGCGGCCCGGCCGCCTCCTTCCGCTCGCTACGAATACGCTCAGATCCTCACTGGGAGCCTTATTGAGCGACAAACGCTCTAAACGCTCTATCTTGACGCCGGCCCGATATGACTACGCCACCGCTCATGTTTTATTAACACCTTGATATTTTCAATTACACTTCTTCATTTACAATTCCCAAAAAAAATATCCGTATTGATATCAGACTGCTTTTATTCACTTATTTTCTCGAATGCTACCGGTATTGTAATTTTGTAAACAATCGAAATAAAAAATATACGATATAGGTATGACATTGACCTAGACCTAGACAAATTCATTGAAATCTACAACAGCTGGCAACCTATGGCATGGACGTTCAAGATTCCCTAGTTGTAATTAGTATCGGTTAACGTCAAGGTGATTAGAGCGTCCGGCGGTCTAGCGGTCGCTGTTGCTAATCATTGTGACGCTTTACCTTTGCGTACAGCTCTGGTGACGCAGCAGACTAGTTAAGGGGTGGCCCATTACATGTATTACAGCGGGAACAGAGATCCAAACACTTGCGTTGACAAGTTTGTTTATTTACATTCTTGATTCCTGCATTCAAAGTAAGTTTAATGAAAGTAAAAGTCTTATAGAATCTGAAACTTGTACGGTTAGGTATTACCAGCATTAAATCTGAGATCAGTATTGCTCTTTTATTGGTGAAACGACCAAACTAGTATCTTAAATATGTGTAGGGAACATAAGTTAGATACATTTTTAAGACATGTTTTAATACTAGGGCTTTATCTGAATATCGATGTTGTAGGAAAGTAAACAAGCTAAAAGTACGTTTCCTACGCTACGTAGGTACCATGCATCCTATCCAACAGTGACTCCGTTGCTTTTTAATTACGAGCTACATTGGCGCATTTACTAAGGTTAGCCACACTTGATGAGTGTTGCTTGCAGGCTTTTCAACAGATGTTTTAATGACGTGGTTGGTGCTCCTTAAATAGGTTTCATTAGCTAGGTTTCCTGCTGTTTACGTAACGAGGTATGTTATTGACTATTGCTATGAAGAATACTGAGTTTAAAGACAAGATAAATTGTAGTTTTAGGAAAACAACGTCGCTTGTTCACGTCCCTGTATATAGATATAGTTATGTATACCGATGCAGTTCGCAATATCAGTGGTGATGGTGATAGTAAGAATAAGAATAAGAATAAGAATAAGAATTTTATTTGCTCAAACATGTGTGTGCATACAGAATTAAAATAATACAGCATGCAAGATCTTAGAGAAAAGTGGCTTACGACATGTCTGCCATTTATCATGGCGTGCAAATATCTATTATATAAAAAAAAATTTAATGACTGTGAATTATTACATTAATTTTAAAATTTACACTTATACCTACATTAAATATCTGCAGTATCATTATACATTATTAATTAATTTGTTCATATTCAATTAATATTTACTAAAAATGATTTAATTATTATTATACAAATTATATATTTTACTTATTATTTAATAACATTCAATTGTAATAATATTAACAATATGTTTCTTTGTGTCCTACACTGTGACACAACCTTAATTAGGGCAATGTTAGTTTTTATTGTTATTTATTTATAACAATCACTGACTCACTTAAAAACTCCGTTATACTATAATAAGCTTTCTGTGCCAAAAACAATTTCATTGTTTGTTTTAGTTTAGGTATAGTTAGTTCTTTCCAACTTTTGGGTAATTTATTATAGATAATTGGTGCCATGCAAAATACACTCCTGCGCATAAGTGCAGTTTTTGATGTATGTAAACATAGTTGGCTATCGTCACGTCTATTCCTTGGAAATCTGTCTGCCATACGAGGAAACAAATGTGGATTTGTCTTCACGAACATTGTTATTTCTAATACATAAAGTGAAGGCAATGTTAATACACGATATTTAATAAAGTAATTTTATAAATGTATTTTTCAAAAATTTTCGACATTACTGATATAAGTGATATAGGCCTGTAAAATTCCACTTGCTCCCTGTCTTGTTTCTTAAACAGTGGTTTTATAATTGATTTTTTTAGCTCAGTCGGAAATATACCTTCACTTATGCTTAAATTAATTATGTAACTTAAGGGACTACTGATTTCATATGCCACTGACTTTACAATTTTTGTACATATGCCATCGTCTCCTACAGAGTTTGTATTTTTTAAGGCCGCTATAATTTTTAATACATCAATTGCCAGGCTAGGCGCCATAAACATTGAGTCTTTTTTTGCCAAAATATGTTTAGTGACTATGGTTCCCGAACTAGTTATAGGTTTTATTTTATCTATAAAATAGTTATTAAATATATCTGCTATAATCCTGGGGTCAGTAACAGTTTCATTATTATATAGAATTTTGTCTATAGTATTTTTTGGTAAATTTAATTTTCTTTGATTTATTATTTCCCAAGTAGTCTTAGACCTATTGTTTGATTTTTGAATTTTATGCGTATTCTGTGCTCGTTGAGTTAAATAAATAATTTTTTTAAGTATTTTTGAATAATTTTTAAATTTATTTTTATTTATATCGGTAGGTTTTTGTCTATACTTCCATAACAATTGACGCTTCCTTTTGCTACATATCTTAATACCACGGGAGACCCAACTAGACCTTCTTTTCATGTTTACAGAGACAAGAGTTTCAGGAAAGCACTGAGTATATAACAAAGAAAACAATTCTGTAAAGGCCTTGTAAGCAATGTTTGGGTCCTTCGATTTATACACCTCAGTAAACGATAGGCTGCTTAGGTAAGACTTAAATTTATCCATGTTCTCCATACTATAGTCCCGTTTAGTGGTCCGCCAACGTGTCCCGGGGCTTACAGTTCTAATCGGGCAATTGAGTAGTTGTGCCGTGTGGTCAGACAAAGCCAATTCTAGAACAATAGCTTTACGAGAGAAATCAAAATTGTGCGCAAAATTGTCAATGCATGTATTGCTCTTTAAACGCGTAGGTTGACGAATTGATAGTTTTAAATTAAAATTCAATAATAAATTTTCAAATTCAAGTGTGTGTTTATTTTTTTTCAATATATCTATATTAAAATCACCCGCCAGTACAACATTTTTGAATGGTTTTTGTATCAGAATACGCAATAATATATCCAATCTACTCATACATTCGTTAAAGTTAGCTGAATTAGGTACTCTATATATGCACACAATTGCAATATTATAATTTAAAAGTTCTATAGCGCAACATTCAAAAATACCCGTTATAGACAATTTAGCTATTCTTGTTATTTCCCTCCACTTATGACTATTTTTTATGAGTATACAAGCACCACCTCTTTTGTTTTTCTTACGTTAAAGTTCTTACGTTAATAGTACCAAAAAAGTTAAGTACGCTACAATGGTGGGCGATTTTTTAAAATAAATAAAAGTATTTCGGTTGAATAGTGACTTGAAGAATATTTAACTGTAGATTTAAATCAATGTTTTATGCAGTTAATAATAATACCTAATAATGCAACTAAACCTTAGTTATTGTTTTACCAATAATACCTGTAATTTAACGTTTTTGAAACGGTTTTATTTAGCTTGTCCTGTTTGTTTGTTTGTTTGGGTCAAAAGTAATTGGAATTTTACCCCCTTCGTGACGTCAGATCGATCTGATATTTAGTACACACTCTTAATTTTAATGAACATACGTAACAATTTTATTTTTATTTTTTTCATAACCAGCTTCATTATGGATATCGAATGAAAGGGCTTGATTGATTGAATAAAACCGTTTAACAAAAAAAATATTTTTATTTATCGGTTAATTATGACTTTTATGGACAGGTACATTCTTAGATGAAATAAATACTAGAACTTTGTTGTACCAAACTTTGAACTATGATACGCCAAATCGTAAACATATACCTGTAAACTTTTACAATTCCTTACTGATACAAACCTATGTTTACAAACAAATTGATTGATTGGTACATATGTTGGTGCTATTCCCTCTCAGTCAACAATTCATACGGTGATGCAGAAATGTGTATGAGGAATATATGTATATCAGTAGGTATATGCAATTTTTTTTTAGACGTTGCCTCACTTTAGATTTTTCTCCTGTGTCGTGGGTGCGTTTACAAACATACAAGTTCTCATACACTATGACACCCAGACCCGAAACAACAATTTCAGACTTGGTTGGTGGTAGGTGAATTAAAAGTGTCAAGTATTCTTAATATTAATTACTTCATGTAGGATTTTGTGTTGAACCACGAACTTTTGATAGGTACTTCAGTCGGACAAAACACAATATCAAGTAATACTTGTGTGTCTATCGCGCCAAGGTAGTTATATTTATTTGGTGTTATTTCTCCGTGCCTTTGAAAGCTCTGAAAAGTATTTTGTACGCCTGATATCACAACACCTGTATCGGACTGGCCTGTCGAATAGTTACGAGTAAGTGAATTAATTGAGAATGCACACATATTTTACGCACACTCAAACGGTTTTATCTTACTAAGTCGTCGAGTTTGTGAATAAAAACTCTGATATAGATAATCATAACATTAAGATCTTCGGAACTTACTTCTCTTAAACTACGTTCAGTCAACTTTCATAGTTAGACAATTTATTTTACAGCATTGACATTTAGAGAAATGGACATTTAGAGGTATTGTTATTAATATTTTTATTGCCAAACGAACACACGGTTCGCCTGGTGGAAAGCATCCGTGGACGTCCATGGGCACTCTCAATACAAAAACTGTCGTAAGTTCGTTACTGGCCTTTCGGAGATTTGAAGTTGATTGGGTCTCCGGTAACTACGGTAACTACGGCGGTGTCCATTGATACCGTGGTATCACTTCACTCGAGCCGACTCATTCATACTCTCCCGCAATATA